ACACACACACACACACACACACACACACACACACACACACACACACACACACACACACACAGCTGTAAACTCACCATATCCCATCCACCTGCTTTCCTGTGAGCAGAAACATAAACTGCAGTTACCTTCTCTGTAGCTCCTTTCCTTCTCAGGTGAAACAAACACACTGAAGCCACAAAAAGTCAAAAACTCACCCAACATCTGTAAACTCAGCTGACGAGCCATGCCTCTGGAGATGTCGTAAATGTAAAGTTTCACTGGATAGGAGACACTTTGCGCCATGACGCCACAAAGTTTAAAAGCCTAAGTTTCTCACGAGTCAATCAGAGGTAGCAGCTAGCTTTAAAACAACACGCAGATGCACTGTCACTGTCATAATTATTACATGACTTTCAAAAACTGCTTCCGTGTTCTGGGCAGAGACTCGACCTGCTTTGCTGTGATTGGTCGGATGACAGCAGAGTGAGACAAACAGCCAATGAACAACGAGTTTACAGAAAGAGACTGATCACATGTATGGAACACCAACAAAGACAAAAACACGCAGTTTTTATGTTTATTTATTTATTTATTTTTCATAATTCTTTGATTATGTTGCTGTAAAAATGTTTATAATAGATCAGGAATAAATACACAAATTTTAACATGTTCTTTAACCCAGTTCAAGATATCTTAAATGTATCTTTAGATTTGAGATTCACTACATAAGATTTAATTAATGCAGATTTCAGACTGTTTCATGTTCTGTAAATTGTATTTAAAACAAAGCTGCTGCTGTTGATCATTCTGTTTTCATAAGCCCCGCCCCCAAGGCCAGTACACTAGGGAAACACTGGAAAGGTCTAAAAACGTTTACTGAAGATGTTTTAGATAACAGAATTGACTGACAACCACGTTAATATTTCTTTAGTACAAAATAGAAGGTGAGACGTGTAAATTTATGTCCTCATAAAACAAGTACACCCCCCCCGGCTAAGACCAATGTCCTAGGGGAAATACTGCTCTGTAAAGGCTACGTGCACCATTCAAACAGCTTGTTTGTTCGTCATGCCTTTACTCTCCTATTTAAAACATTTCACAAGTTATAAACTGTACTTCCACGTGTCCTTTTGGAGAACACTACAACAACGTAAGCACCAAGTATAAACACCTCCACCGCTGGTTAGGTACGTCTCCAAAACAGAAAATTTAAAGCAATATGTCTCCAAGACAGAAACTACACAACAAAACAATGAGGAACAAATGGGAGGAAGCTGGAGCCACTGTATGTGACTGAACTGTAAGAAATGACCTAAAGGAAAGGGCATTTACATACAGGAAAGCTAAAAGAAGAAAACCATCATTGACACCTAAACAAAAAGAACAAGACTGCAATGGGCTAAGGAGAGGCAGTCATGTTATCTTCAGTGATGAGTCAAGAATCTGCATTGGACAAAGTGATGATGCTGGAACTTTGGTGCCGTTCCAGTGAGATTTATGAAGAGGACTGCCTGAAGAAAACAACCACATTTCCACAGTCCTTCATGATATGGGTCTGCATGTCAGGCAAAGGCACTGGGAGATGGCCGTCATTAATGCCCCTTTTCCACTGGTGCCACTTAGTGTAGTGTCGGTACGGTTTGGTACGGGTCCAAGCCATTTCCATTAGGCCAGATTTAGTACCTTCTTCATTGTGGTTCCAAGCAGCCCCAGTTGACACCAAAATGCGACGTCAGAACACTGTTCGTCACTGATTGGTTAGTGGGTGGAGTCACTGCTGCCTTTACAAGAACAACTCAAGGCACCATTTTCTTTTCAATTGTAGCAGTGACAATGGGCCTCATGTAAGAACCGTTCGTACGCACTGATTTGTTCTTAAGTTGTGCGTACGAGTGATTTAGGAGAATTTGTGACATTCACCAATGTTTTCGTATTCTAAGAATTTTTTCAGATACGAACAAAATTCAGGAGTGGTCCAGACCTGTCGTATATTTTACCAGCAGTCAGTCTGCTGTTATCCAGACGGCCCAGATAGCAATGGACTCAGGGGCGGATCCGCCC